CACGGTCTGCCAAGGCTTTAATGGTGCTTCTTTTTTGACTTGGGTGATGGTTGGAGTTTTTATGTAGATATCTATCTGTGTGTGTGGGTTTTCTGTAGACAGTGTGACCCAATTGTTGATCTGGTTTGCGGATGACTAGGACATCTAGAAAAGGCAGTCTTCCTTCATTTTCTTTTTCCATGGTGAACTGGATGTTTGGGTGGATGCTGTTAAGATGGTCCAGGAACCTGTTGAGTTCTTCTTCTCCATGGCTCCAAATGGTGAAGGTGTCATCCACATATCTGAACCATATAGTGGGCTTTTTGGTTGCTGTTTCCAGAGCTTGTTTTTCAAATTGTTCCATGTAGAAGTTAGCTATGACTGGGCTGAGAGGGCTCCCCATAGCTACTCCATCTTTCTGTTCGTAGAATTCATTGTCCCACTGAAATAGCTGGTGGTGAGGCAATGGTGAAACAGCGCCGTGATGTCTTCTGGGAACCTCTGGTTGATGAGTGCCATGGTGTCTGCAACTGGGACCATGGTAAATAGAGACACCACATCGAAGCTGATCAGTTTGTCATTTGTATTTAGCTTGAGATTGCTGATTTTTTCAATGAAGTGGGCTGAGTCCTTGATGTAGTGTGTTGTGAGCCCAATGTGGCTTTGTAACTGTGCAGCAAGAAATTTGGCTAAGTCATATGTGGGGGACCCAATGGCACTCACGATTGGTCTGAGTGGGGTGGAGTCCTTATGGATTTTGGGGAGTCCATAAAGCCTGGGTGGAAGGGCTTCCGATTTACATAGCTGACGTCGTATGTCGAAGTTGATTGAGGAGTTTTTAATTAGAGTGTTGGTTTTTCTGGTTATTTTGGAAGTTGGTCTCATCAACCAGAGGTTCCCAGAAGACATCACGGCGCTGTTTCACCATTGCCTCACCACCAGCTATTTTCAGTGGGACAATGAATTCTACGAACAGAAAGATGGAGTAGCTATGGGGAGCCCTCTCAGCCCAGTCATAGCTAACTTCTACATGGAACAATTTGAAAAACAAGCTCTTGAAACAGCAACCAAAAAGCCCACTATATGGTTCAGATATGTGGATGACACTTTCACCATTTGGAGCCATGGAGATGAAGAACTCAACAGGTTCCTGGACCATCTTAACAGCATCCACCCAAACATCCAGTTCACCATGGAAAAAGAAAATGAAGGAAAACTGCCTTTTCCTAGATGTCCTAGTCATCCGCAAACCAGATCAACAATTGGGTCACACAGTCTACAGAAAACCCACCCACACAGATAGATATCTACATAAAAACTCCAACCATCACCCAAGTCAAAAAAGAAGCACCATTAAAGCCTTGGCAGACCGTGCAAAAAGAATCTGCGAACCCCACCTCCTCCAAGATGAACTGAACCACCTCAACTGGGCTCTCCAGGCCAATGGAGACTCCACCTCAGACATCAGAAGAGCTGCAAGACCAAGAACAAGCCACAAGAGTAAAGATGAAGATCCACCCAGAGGAAAAGTGTTCCTGCCATACATCAAGGGAACCACTGATCGCATAGGGAAGCTGATAAGGAAACACAACATACAAACAATCTACAAACCCACCAAGAAAATCCAACAAATGCTACGTTCAGCAAAGGACAAGAGGGATCCTCTCACCTCTGCAGGAGTCTACCGTATACCATGGCAGCTGTGGACAAGTCTACATAGGGACCACCAAACGCAGCGCCCAAACAAGAATCCAGGAACATGAAAGGCACTGCAGACTACTCCAACCAGAGAAATCAGCCATAGCAGAGCACCTGATGAACCAACCTGGACACAGCATTTTATTTGAGAACACAAAAATGCTGGACCACTCTCACAACCACCATGTCAGACTACACAGAGAAGCCATTGAAATCCACAAACGTGTGGACAATTTCAACAGAAAGGAAGAAACCATGAAAATGAACAAAATCTGGCTACCAGTATTAAAAATTCTAAAATTAAAACAGCAGAGAGAAAAACAGGCAGGGACATCTAATCACCTTTCAAGAAGAGTTTGCTCCAGGCACAGTCAGCCCATTGTATGCTAATCAAGGTGGTCAGTTGAAAAGATTCACACCTAGCCCAACTTACAAAAGCCTTTTGTCTCACCCTGGTCATTCCACAGATATATAAACCCCTTTTTCCCAGCTCCGCAGACCTCTGAGGAAGCTTGCCATAGATGCAGGCGAAACGTCAGGAGAAATGCCTCTAGAACATGGCCATATAGCCCGACCAACAGAAAATACTGGAAGGGTTTCGTGGGCAGTGTCCTTTGGTTTTGGAGTTGTAGTTCTCCTACATCCAGAGATAACTGTGGACTCAAACAATGATGGATCTGGACCAAACTCTAAACGAATACTCAATATGCTCAATATGTGAACATTGGTAGAGTTTGGGAAAAATAGAATCTTGACGTTCGGGAGTTGTAGTTATTGGGATTTATAGTTCACCTACAATCACAGAATTTTCTGAACCCACCAACGATAGAATTGGGCCAAACCTCCCACACAGAACCCCCATGTGGGCCACAGCGACACATGGCAGGGGATGGCTAGTAAAATAATAAACTTTATTTGTACCCCGCCACCATCTCCCCAAGGGGACTCAGGGCGGCTTACTTGAGGCCACGCCCATCAATACAATAAACAGAATATAACACAAAAACACAACAAAAATCAAGAAATAAAATAACATAAAATGCAGAACCAATGTAAATAAGCAACACAACAATATAAAATCAAAACATTCAACACTAAAAATGATCACAGTGGGCAGGGCCAGATTCAAGGATTAAAATTTTAAAACACTGGGAGATAGGGCAGTGTAGGATATCAGGAAGGGGATCCAGGGGATAAGGTAGGATTTAATGTCAAAGGGAAACCTTTACCTTACACTGTCATATAATCCAGGTCAAAACAGATAATCTGGATTTTATATGGCAGTGTAGAAGGTGCCTGAGGATCTGTAAAATGGCAGTAATCCAAGCAATGTACTTGATGCAAATCCGCCCCCTCCATGCCTCTCTGTCTCCAATACAGTACCTGTACTAAAAAAATCCTCCAAAATCTGAAATACAAAACAGTTCTAGCCCCAAACATTTGGAATAGGGATACTCAACATGTATTAGATATTTGTAACATCATGATATTAAGTTGCTTTATGCAATGTCAAATCATCAGCTCATGTAGCCTGTCACAGGGTGGTTCTACGCAGCCATTTAAACTGAGTCATGATGTGGATTAAAGAGGTCACATTATTGCTTTGCTTGGTTATCGGAAGATCTATGCACAATAGGTTGCGGAAACAGAGTGTCGACTTCTTCTGTGATGGCTTCAGACAACTTGTTCATCGTTGGCAGAAATGTATCCAATTGTCTGGTGATTATGTGGAAAAGTGAATAGTGGTAGCACATTCTAAGGATTATTTCTGCGTTTGATTTATTAAAATATTCCCATCCAAACCCAAGTAACGAAGGTGAAGGCATTACTTTTCAATCAACCTTCATAATACAGAATAAAACAGTACACAACCTGGAACATCTGGTATTGTTTAAAATGGACAGAGGACTATATCTTCAATGTACACAATGCTACAATACTAAGTTTCAATTGAGATATTTTGCATTCTTTCATATTACATTTAGATTTTATAAAAGGTACATGGATATTCATTTTCAGCCTAAGATTTGAATGTGTAAACAATTAGCAGAATCACATTACAAAGGAATTCCACAAAAATGATAACCTATGTCTTAACTGGGTCAACCAGAACCAAAACTGCACTTAAGCGGTGTGTAGCGCTTTTGTGTTAGTGTATGTGTGAGTGTGAAAAATAAAGTAGCCACCATTAATATTTCTCAAAAGTATAATTTGTCCATAGTGTCTGGCTGAACTAGATCTCTAGATACTTAACAATTTTTTTAACAGAAAGACGTAACCTTTTGCCAAGAAACAAAACACTCAAGTATCACCAAAAAAACACAACAAACAAACTTGTTTGGGAAATAAATAGAAATCAGTTAAATAGAATCCCACTGGAATCCCCTTGGAGCATTGCAGCACACCCAAATACCTGGACCGTGCTCTGACCTACAAGAAACGCCGCCTGAATATCAAGCAAAAAGTGGGCGCTAGAAACAATATCATACAAAAGCTGACTGGCACAACCTGGGATCACAACCAGACACAGTGAAGACATCTGCCCTTGCACTATGCTACTCTGCTGCTGCATATGCATGCCCAGTGTGGAACACATCTCACCACGCTAAAACAGTAGACATGGCTCTCAATGAGACATGCTGCATTATCACAGGGTGTCTGCGCCCTACACCACTGGAGAAATTACACTGTTTCGTCAGTATTGCACCACCTGACATCCGCCAGGAAGTAGCAGCCAATAGTGAATGGACCAAGGCAGTGACATCTCCAGCTCACCCTCTGTTTGGGTATCAGCCAGCACATCAACGACTTAAATCAAGAAATAGTTTTCTAAGATCTACGGAGACACTCGTTGGAACACCTCAGCAAGCAAGAGTCCAAAAGTGGCAGGATCAAACCCAGAACCTCAATCAATGGCTGATACCAAATGAGACACTCAAAAAACTGGGCGACTTGGAAGGTGCTGAACAGACTGTGCTCTGGCACCACGAGATGCAGAGCCAACCTTTTCTTAACTATTTCTTAATGGGGCTACAAAGTGGAATCCACGACATGCGAGTGTGGAGAAGAGCAAACTACAGACCACCTGCTGCAATGCAACCTGAGCCCTGCCACATGCACAATGGAGGACCTTCTTGCAGCAACACCAGTGGCACTCCAAGTGGCCAGCTACTGGTCAAAGGACATTTAATCAACTATCAAGCTTGCAAACTTTGTGTTTTGTTTGGTTGTTTGTTTAAAAATGCAGTACAACTGTTTGGTTTGCTCCTGACACAATAAATAAATAAATAAAATTAAATAGAAATAGGTACATTCTCAGGAGTCTGCACCTTATTTGCAATGGCAGGAACAATAACGCATCCTGCTGGACCGTGTCACATCTTAACAGCCTGATCAGGCCACTCCTCCCCCAGTTTTAATAAGCAACCATCTATAATGACCACACCAAAATAACAAAACAAAAAACTCCCAAAACTCATTCAGGTCTTTAGCCAAAGTGAGGGACAAAGGGCAATTCTTTTTAAAGTGGGTTGTGGGCTAAAGAACAGCTTGCGATGTGAATTATCACATATGTCATGTGTCACAATAACAGCCAATAATAAGTGGATACAATTTTTTTTGTCCATGTAGACAGTCCCTAAGGGCACTTCTTCCCTCCCACCTCTGAGGCAGCTGAGGAAATTCCTGTGCAGACTCCATGTGGGCCCAGCATTCAGTACGTTAGACCAGGACCAGCCCTTGATGCATTTTTCTTAACTGGTTTCAAACAAGCGTTTTCCAATGGTAGAATGGCAGCTAGTGCACGCCATCAGTCACAGAAAGGTACCAGGCAGCAATGATGATGATGAGGGCAGCTGTGCAGGCAGAAGAAAGAATGAACTGGCAGAAACCATGAAGAAACCATTTTACTTGTCCTTTCTCAGTAAGAACCTTCTCCAAGTCTTCAATTTTTGCTTGACATTTGAGAAGATCTCCTTCCAGGATTTCATGTGTCTAAATGGAGAGTTTTTTTAAAAAAAACTATTAGAGTTTTATATGACTACTTTTTTATCATTATCATGACAATCAAAATTTTATAGTTGAAAAAAATACTGTTAAAATGGTAATTTAAAATTTAGCTATAGATATACTTTTTGTGCTTATAATATATACTTTTTGTATATAATTTTTGCTACTGTTGGAAAATGCAAAAATTCTCTACTCAATACTCCAGTTTAGCTAGCTAACTGTTACCAGAAACGTGGAAAGGGTAAAAAGAAACCTACGAGAGTTGAATAAAAAGTAATGCCTCCATCTTGGTAACTCCTCAACAGATGGCAGTATTGGTATGCGGCAGGTACTGACTTGTTCAGTAGACTCTCCTCTACAGTTCCATTTTGGCCTTAGCATTGAACGGTTGTGTTGTTAAAGTGTGGATTATGGAACTCTGCGCAGATGGTTGGTCAATGCAATGTGCAGTCATTGAATTCTTGACAGCAGAAGGTGTCACCTCAACATCTTTAAACTTACTCGCCCAATGACGCACAGTACTCACATCAACACAATCACCATAAACAGCTTGCATTCTCTGATGAATCTCCTTTGGGGTGACACCTTCTGCTGTCAAGAATTCAATGACTGCACGTTGCTTAAGTCGCATTGACCATCTGTGCAGGGTTCCATACTTCGCACTTTAACAACACAACTGTTCAATGCTAAGGCTTCCCGCTAAAATGGAACTGTAGAGGAGAGTCTACTGAACAAGCCAGTACCTGCCGCATACCAGTACTGCCATCTGTTGAGGAGTTATGAAGGTGGAGGCATTACTTTTCCTTCAACCCCCGTAGCATCAAAAATAATTGAACCATTTGCTTTATAGGGCCATTGTAACACATAAACAAGCCAGGACCTGCCCCATACCAGTACTGCCATCTGTTGAGGAGTTACGAAGGTGGAGGCATTACTTTTCATTCAACCCTTGTATCATCTATTATATTTAGTGCATCTGACAAAACTTTGTTTTTGTGGGACATCCTGCAGCACATTTTGCCATATTTTTTAATGAATATCTGATAAAAGTCTCAACCAATTCAACATGTATTGTCAAAGGCTTTCATGGCCAGAATCATTGGGTTGTTTAGTTATTACTATTAGGGAGTAAATATTTCAGCATGCTTCTAGAACATGGCCATACATCCCAAAAAAACCTGCAACAACCCAGTTCAGCATAGTTGTGGCAGCCAGAAAACTGAAATTTCCGCAGTATAATAACTACTTTCAAAGTAAGCATCACAGAATTAAACAGGAAATAACACTTTCAAAGCAGGAACAGAATTTTTTTACCAAATTTTGTTACATGGTGTAAGTCTATACAGACTTACAAGAACCACAGAAAGGTTAAGAGAAGCATTATCCTTGTATTGACATAATTTTAAAGATATGTTCAAATTTGATATTTTTAAAAACATATTTGCTGCTAGCTGCTAGTATTTTCACTTCAGCTGAAAAGCAACAATAAGCATCATATACAAGTGCTACATTTCTAGAATTACAATTACTTCATTTGCAATATTCCAGAGGAACATTCTGAGATCTGTTTCAAAACTTAGAGTAGCCATGCTACAAAATTTCATGCATGGAAGTGGAATTCCATCAAAATGTTTCCAAACAGTGATATACAAACCCCACTAATATACAAAAGGGATGTTAAAGAAGAAAAATAAAGTTAAAATCAGGTAGCAAGGAGTCAGCAGGTTAGTGGTTAGATAGATGAACACTTGTAGGGTCCCATCACTGGGATATTTCAGAATTCAATATATGCCGAATTAAGCTATAGAAGCTGTACTCTTTGCAAAGCCACGTAAAAAAAAATTACCCTAGTGTCTCTTTCTGCATCCAGGGTTCCCCCAACCTGCTCCTGGAGCAACGCATGCGCTCTTTGCAAAGCTTGATATTCTCTTGTTAGTTGACAGAACCGCAAGTCAGCTTCTTCAGGTGTGTTCTTTAAATAAATCGTTTTTAAAATGTTTTTTTTTTCTAGTGGTGCAAACATTGTCAATAGATTGTTATTACTACTAATTTCAATTTAAATAAGACTTATATAAAAAAGCAATTATAAAACAAAATGTAACAGTGCAGGGAATTCTCCTTAATAATCAGTATTTAGTGAACAGAGTGCTTTTTCTGTACAAAGTCCTTACGTGGCAAGGCATTTAAAAGTATTTATAATGATGGCTGATAAACTAAAATTAGCAACTGTTTCAATTTCTTTTATCATGTCAGAAACGACTTGATAAACTGCAAGGAGCCATGGTGGCACAATAGGTTAAACCCTTGTGCCAGCTGAACTGCTGACCTGAAGGTTTGCGTTTTGGATCCATGAGACAGGGCGAGCTCCCATCTGTCAGCCACAGCTTCCCATGTGGGGATATGAGAGAAGCCTTCCACAGGATAGCAACACATCTGGGCATCCCCAGGCAATGGTTCTGCAGATGGCCAATTCTCCCACACCAGAAGCAGATTGCAGTTTCAAGTGCAGTAATAGATATTTTTAAAGTATTAAGGTAAAGGTTTTCCCTTGACATTAAGTCCAGTTGTGTCCGACTCTGGGGGTTGGTACTCATCTCCATTTCTGAGCCGTTGTCCGTAGACACCTCCAAAGTCATGTGGCCAGCATGACTGCAAAGAGCGCTGTTATCTTATTGATCTACTCACTTTTGCATGTTTTCGAATTTTTAAAGTACAGTATTACACATTAGAGAAAAGAAAAAATGAATATTTTGGATGATAGCTACAGCTATGAAGCCTGTTATTTTTCTAGAAAACTCATTTTTATATGGGCCGTGGTTTTGCTGTGAATAAATAGGTATTATTAAGTTTATTGCACTTAAATTCCACACTTCTTCAAAGGAGCTCACTTTCCAGTGTGTTTCCTATTTGCAAGAGTGCACTGGGATTGAACTAGCCCTAGCTGACTTCATGGCAACAAGAACATATACAGTTCTTCCTATCTGTTCACATCAGCCTTACAAAATACTGATTGGCTCAAGGAGACCCAGCTGATTTCAAGGGGATTTGGACCTGTGTCTTCTTAGGATGTATGTACACTGAAGAATGAATGCAGTTTGACACCACTTTACCTACAATGGCTCAGTGTTATGGAATCATGGCTGTTGCAATTTAGTGAGACCCCCAACACTCTAGCAAATGCAGGTAAAGGCCTTGTAAAATTACATTTCCCATAATTCCACAGCATTTGAGCCATGACAATTACATTGATGTCAAACTGCATCAACTCTGGCAGGCAATAGAGGGTAGTGGAACCCCCGGTGGCGCAGTGGGTTAAACCCCTGTGCCGGCAGGACTGAAGACCGACAGGTCGCAGGTTCGAATCCGGGGAGAGGCGGATGAGCTCCCTCTATCAACTCCAGCTCCTCATGCAGGGACATGAGAGAAGCCTCCCACAAGGATGATAAAAACATCAGATCATCCAGGTGTCCCCTGGGCAACATCCTCGCAGATGGCCAATTCTCTCACACCAGAAGTGACTTGCAGTTTCTCAAGTCACTCCTGACATGACAAAAAAAAAATAGAGGGTAGTTCTGAACAAGACACAAAAGGGTGCTGGTGGTGGCAGTAGTGGCCATGCATGTTATGCCAGTAAACCTTATCTTAATGCCAGGCATTCCACTGAGTTATTACTATTTGGGAGTAAATATTTCAGATTTTGAAATATAAAGTGCCTTAAGTGGGAAATATGTTTGTAAAGAATAGGAAGTAATATATTGTCAAAGTCTTTCATGGCCGGAACCACTGGGTTGTTGTACGTTTTTCGCGCTGCATAGCCATGTTCCAGAAGCATTCTCTCCTGACGTTTCCCACAGACCTCCCAACCTCTGAGGATACCTGCCATAGATGCAGGCAAAACTTCAGGAGATAATGCTTCTGGATCATGGCCATACAGCCCAGAAAACACACAACAACCCAGTAGGAAGTGTTAAAGGCAAGCTAATGAAAAACACTTTAAGCCATACTACGTGCACAAATACCTACATGTTCCAAGTCTTTTGCTGTAGTATGAGTCCTGTCCGTTTTATCTGTGCTAAAGGAAGTCACTGATGATGTTTCGGAATCGGCTGATTCTTCTTCAAATCCAAAATATGTCTCTGCAACATGATTCTACAACAACAGCAAAATGCATTGTTACATAAAGATCCCAAAGAACCCCTTCCATATACATGCATACACCTACACCTCCATATTCCTCTGTGCACCTCAACTGCTTTCCCTTAATTGAGGAATTAGGGGGTAATGACCCTTTAATGACCATGAGTAATACTGAAAAGAAAAATGGGTTCCCCTAAAACTGTAGAGACCAAAATCCACTCATTATGGTTTTTATGGTTTTTATAGTATTAGGTTAAATGTTTTTAAGGTTTAATGTTTTTTAACTTTATGAATGTATGGCATCAAATTCTGCCAATTTCTGTAACCCGCCTTGAGTCACCGTAAAGCTGAGAAAGGCGGGCTACAAATGCCATAAATAAATAATAATAAATTAAAATTAATACATATTAAACATTTAAAAACATTACATTCCATATTAAAATCACGCTATCCATGCAACTAAAGTATTGTCTCCTCATTTTTGCTTTCACCCGAAGAATTCTTTGGCCTATGTAAGCATATGCCAAAATAAAATCTGCTAACCTTTAAAAAATAAGATACTGCTGTTTTTGCTGTACGAGACTAACTAAACTATCCCTATGGATCTTTTAACAGTTGCCAAATAAATAAAAAGCAATGGATAAGGCCCATCTCTTTTTTCCCTTTGCTTCCCTTCCCTTCCCTTTTCCTTCCTTCCTTTTTTCTGTTATTGAGAATTACATCTCATCCACAAGGCCGTAGGTCAGAAACTGAATAGAATACCTTGCACGTATGAACTGTTAATACTGTATCTTTGGTATTTTTCCGTGTCATCCTTTGTCCTTTTCTCATTTTGTGAAAAAGGAATAATATCAATAATTAATATGCCCTAGTTTATATTTGCCATCCAAGCAGCAGCAACCCTTTTATAAGCATTTGCAATCTATAATTAATATATTCAGACAGAGTCCACAATTATGTTCAAAAGGCACCAAATAATGGAAGATATATTCTCCGGAAACCATCCCTTTGTATCTTTAAGAAAAGTTCTTATTGAGTTAGGATCTAAAATAATTATCTTCATTTCATTAACCAAACAGGGATAGCAGGAGAAGTCCCAAACTAAATTCTTCGCTAAAGGAATTTGAACAAGGAATGAGCCAGAGGCCCCTTCTACACTTTCATATAAAATCCAGATTATCTGCTTTGAACTGGATTATATGTAGACTCAGTTCAAAGCAGATAATCTGGATAATCTGCTTTGATAATCTGGATTATATGGTAGTGTAGATCCAGCCTCAGGGCCTCTCCACAGAGCCCTATAACCCAGAATATCAAGGCAGAAAAACTCACAATATCTGCTTTGAACGGGATTATCTGAGTCCACACTGAGTTAACATGGTATTTTATTCAGCTGTGTGGACAGAGGCGTTAGACAGAGAAAAGGCTTACTTCCTTTCCCACAATCTAGGGGAAGTAAACCTTTTATTATTTCCTAATAACATATTTATGGTTCCTGCCTAGGTCAAACCAGTATTGAATAAATCATTATTTTAATGGCAACTTTTAGTATAGAGAGTTTGGGGGGGAATCTATCAAAATAGAGATAAAAGTTACTTGCCTTTGTGGATTTCAGATCTTTTCTTCTCTGTTTCTTAGAATGTAGCAATTCTTCCTGGTCCTATAGCAATAATAATAATAATAATAATAATAATAATAATAATAATAATAATGTTATACTAACCTATAGTGATGTGTGTGTGTGTGTGTGTGTATACACAAATTATTCTGCCGAAGAGTGAGTCTGCTTACATTCACAGAGGGATTCTACAAGATAAAACAAATAACAAACAATCCACAAAATCATCATTGTGTACACCTAAAGCCCAATGCACTCCGTAGGCAAACTAAGGAAACCTTCCTTTATTACTATTAGAAAATGGCTTTCTGTATATGTGGGAGGAGGAAACACGCTACATCTAAGGTCCCTTCTATATTGTCAAAGAAATCCAGATTATCAAATCAGATAATCCACATTATCTACTTTGAACTGAATTATATGAGACTACACTGCCACACAATCCTGTTCAAAGCAGATAATCTGGATTTTATATGGCAGTCTAGAAGGGGCCACAAAATGCAAGTTGTTTTACATTCAGATCAAATGGTAATATGCATTTACAAATATCTATTAAAGGAGTAAGACATTAAGGTGAAGGCTGAGTTTGATAAATACTGGTGTTTATTACCGCTGTGAGATCATCAACACGTTGCTGCTGTTGGATGATTTGCAGTTTAAGATATTCAATCTCCTTTTCTTCACGTCTTCTGCTGAGGTCATTCAATGAAGTATGCCTTCTCAAAGTTGGCTGAACAGACAGCTTTTCTTTCTATAAATAATATATTTAATTAGCATAGTCAGACATTACACTTATAAAAAGACTGTGTCAGACCATGGGGATATTGATACAAACAGCATGACTTTCTCTAAATTGTAAAATGAATTACAAAACAACAACAACAACAACAACAACAACAACAACAACAACAACAACAACAACCCTGCTAGCCTCTCCAGGCATTTTCTGTCCTTCCCTTTCCCCAACTGTTCTTCCTTGCTCAAATAAGTCTTTTCACCTTAATCTTCCGACAGAATTTGGCTTGCAATAGGATGGTCCTTCTGCACCCACAAATTCAATCATCCACAACTCAGATATCTATCTCTATATCTATATCAAACCTTGGCTTTGCCATTTTATATAAGGAACATAATTTTACTACCTCCTTGTACATCATGGGATTTGAGAATCCATAGAATGTGGGATCTGCTTTAGGTCCAGGAACTAAACCCCAACAGATACTGAGGGCCACTGTTCTTTACTTCAGATTTTGATTTTTATGTACTCGGAAGTTTTATTTTTATTTATTTATTTCATGTCAAAAGCACTGCATAAATAAATATAAAACTGATAAAATAGAGGGAACACAAGCAGGTAAATATTTTTTGACCAAAAACAGGCAATAGTGACTGCATTGTCTATAGCTTTAAAACATTCATCCTCTGTGTATAAGGCAGGGCATTGTGGGCAAGCATACAGATGCTGAGGTGTTTGTTCTGCTCCACTTGGAAGTTAGGCATGCCCTAATTCTTATTGCTGTAGCACAATGGGTTCTCCATATCCACGGATTTAACCATTTGATAATACAAAAAGTGATTTGTATACTTATTTTACTTATTATGGGTATAGGGTTACAGCCTGTGCTGGACGGGGTCGCACTCCCCTTGAAGGCGCAGGTTCGCAGCTTGGGTGTGACCCTGGATTCATCTTTGAGCCTGGATCCCCAGGTTTCATTGGTGACCAGGGGAGCATTTGCACAGCTTCGGCTCGTGCGCCAGCTGCGCCCGTATCTTGGGAAGTCTGACTTGGCCACGGTGGTACATGCGCTGGTCACATCCCGCCTTGACTACTGCAACGCTCTCTACGTGGGGCTGCCCTTGAAGACGGCCCGGAAGCTTCAGCTAGTTCAGCGCGCGGCAGCCATGTTACTAACGGGAGCGGGACGCAGGGAGCATACAACGCCCTTGTTGTCCCAGCTCCACTGGCTGCCGATCTGCTACCGGGCCCAATTTAAGGTGCTGGTGTTATCCTACAAAGCCCTAAACGGTTCCGGCCCAAAATACCTTTCGGACCGCATCTTGGCCTATGAGCCCACGAGGGCCTTGAGATCGTCTGGGGAGGCCCTTCTCTCGATCCCGCCTGCCTCACAGGCACGTCTGGCGGGGATGAGAGAAAGGGCCTTCTCAGTGGTGGCCCCCCGGCTGTGGAACGCCCTCCCTGCTGACATCAGACAGGCGCCCTCTCTCATGGCTTTCCGTAAGAGCCTAAAGACCTGGCTCTTCGAGAAGGCATTTAACTAGTCCCAGACTAACTGACAATGACAATGACAATCGGAACGAAATACGGATTATGAGACTGGTAGATCCCTATGTGGTGACGGTGCGGATTAGTTTAGTGTAATTTAGATTAAGCGTGTTATATGGTTTGTTGATATACTCTGTGTTTTTTGTAAACTGTTTTTATATGTTGTACACCGCCGCG